CGATTGAATCGTTTTTGCTTTGTACCCCCTTTTGAGAATCTGATGAAAGTGGTGAACTTCTGTAGAAAAATGCACATGCGCTCAAACACATACATTCTTACATAGAATTTCAAGATGTTTCTAGTCTTTTTGGAACTTAGCCATAAACCCAAAGTCCCATAGGTTCTTTGAACTCCAGTTAGCTCCTACCTTAAATAAAAGCATTGCTAAAAGTTAAGAGTGACGTAAGATCTTGTAACACAATACTTAGCTATCTGATGAATCCAGTGCAAGGGGAAATTTTTACTTGGGGGCCTATAACTTAACCTTTAGCCACTAGGTTCCTTAATGTTTTTCTCTCTACTCACTGATAATTCATAGCTGGCTGGCTTTGCTGGGTTCTTTTCTTCTACCCAGCATATAAAGGTTGGATTTCCTCACAGTTCTTCCTGGGCCCTCTTCCTTTCTCCTTCTACTTACTGCTTGGGAGGAATCTCTTCCTCTCTCTTGGATTTAAATACCACTGTATTATTGGTGGCTGCCAGATTTGCATCATCAGCCCATATCTTCTCAGAGTGCTAGAATCCCATATGCAACTGCCTACTCAAAAATTGATTTCTGTATCTTATAGATATCACCTGTGTAACACCTATCACCTATAATAACTTTATTGAGGTGAAATTCATATGCCATAAAATTCATGTTTTTAGAGTGTACAATTCCAGGATTTTTAGCATATTCACAGGGTTGTGCAACCATTACCACTCCTGAATTCCAAAACATTTTCATCACCCCCAAAAGAAATCCTGTACCATTAGCAATCACTCATTGCCCCCTTGCCCCCAGGCCTTGGCAGTCACTATTCTCGCTTCTTTTTCTCTCTGTATTTGCCTGTTCTGGACATTTCAAATAAATGGAATCCTGTAATATGTGGCCTTTTCCTGGTTTCTTTTCAGTTAACATGATGTTTTTAAGATTCATCCATGTACCATGTATCAGTATTTATTCCTTTTTCCTTTTTTAAGATTTTTATTCATTTATTTGACAGAGAGAGACACACTGAGAGAGGGAACACAAGCAGGGGGAGTGGGAGAGAGAGAAGCAGGCTTCCTGCCAAGCAGGGAGTCCAATGTGGGGCATGATTCCGGGACCCTGGGATCATGACCTGAGCTAAAGGCAGATGCCCAACGCCTGAGCTACCCAGGCGCTCCTATTTATTACTTTTTATTTTTATTTTATTTATTTATTATTTTTTAAGATTTTATTTATTTATTTGACAGAGATCACAGGTAGGCAGAGAGGCAGGCAGAGAGAGAGAGAGGAGGAAGCAGGCTCCCCGCTGAGCAGAGAGCCCGATGCGGGGCTCCATCCCAGGACCCTGGGATCATGACCTGAGCCGAAGGCAGAGGCTTTAACCCACTGAGCCACCCAGGCGCCCCGATTTATTACTTTTTATATCTGAATTGTATCCCAGTATGTAGATAATGCCCCAGTTGGCAGTACATACGTGTTCTTTTTTTTTTTTTTAAGATTTTATTTATTTATTTGACAGAGATCACAAGTAGGCAGAAAGGCAGGCAGAGAGAGTGGAGGAAGCAGGCCCCCTGCTGAGCAGAGAGCCCGATTTGGGGCTCGATCTTAGGACCCTGGGATCATGACCTGAGCCGAAGGCAGAGGCTTTAACCCACTGAACCACCCAGGCGCCCCTACATACTTCAGCTTCTTGCTGAAGCTCTGCTGCCACAGTGATGAGGTACTTAGGGATACAGAATGTGAGAATAAGGTGCTATTATGTATCATTTGGACTGAATAGAACCTAGCACTTAGTGATAATAAGAACTTGATGTGATTAAAAATTATGTAATACTATTACCTTATTTCCCCCAAGAAAACACAGAATGTGGTGCTATATTCACTTTTCACTTTGTGTGAAGTTTCACATTCTCAGACACTTTACTTTTGGAAAGATAAGCAGGCTATTTTGTTGTTTTTGTGTGTGATTAGCTGAATCTGTGTAACACCTTTAAAGACTTTATGGAATACATTTTGTATAAAATGTTTAATTATTCCAGGGCAATGGGTTTAATCCTGAGGTCACATTCTAGTAATATATTTTCTTTTCACTGTTGGAAATAAGTCATCATTATTTTCAGTGAAGGTACTTTAATGTTTAAATGGCATTTTTAAATTACAAAATGGCAAACTGTTATGAGACAGAATTTTATTTTCTTCATACTTTGAGGTTAGGTATTCATGAATGTATGAAAGCGCCAAACATTTGAAGATCTACATATAAAACTATTTATTTGAAGGTGAACATCTAAATAAACCACCAGGATCATCTAAATATTATTTTACATATGATTCCAGGCATAAGCCTTGACTAAGAATTGTAATCACTTTCTGAATCCATTTAGGAATTTCCCAAAACAGATAAGTGGTTGTGGTGCCTGGGTGCCTCAGTCAGTTAAGCATCTGCCTTCGGCTCAGGTCATGATCCCAGGGTCCTGAGACTGAGCCCCACATCGGGCTCCCTGCTTGGTAGGGATCCTGCTTCTTCCTCTCCCTCTGCCTGCCACTCCCCCTGCTTGTGCACTTTCTCTCTCCCTCTCTCTCTCTTTCTCTGTCAAATAAATAAATAAAATCTTAAAAAAAAAAGAAAAACCCAGATTATTGGCTTTCTTTGTCATGAGGGAACTTTTATAAAGAAGTAATAAATGGGCTTTAAAAAAATTCAGTAATTTCATAAGGAAAATATTTTTGACTATAGAATTAATATGAATAAACTGGATTATGGAATCATTGACCCTCAAAGATATAAATTCCTGATGAAGAACGTAGAATCTGATCTTGAAGGTAGAATAGAAGAAGTCTCTTCATGATTAGTGTGAGAATTTAAACTAATGAAGTACTTGGTAGGTGAAATGTTACACCCTCACTGTATGGCACCCTACCCCTTCTAGAAAGAGTAGGTGGAGATCTTGATTACAAGATGTGTTAAATGGACTTATATTGATAGATGGTGAGCAGGGATATTGTTTTTAGGTTTTGTGAGGTGTTGAAAATGAGATCGTCTTAGTCACTTGTTTGATGAGGTACATATTAGTGGAGTTTTAAATTTACAATGTGGAAGAGAATGAGCACTTATCAGAACAAAAGGAAATGTGTGGTTAAACGGTTTCAGCTGTAACTGTAGACTGTTTCCCTTGGTCCAAATGGGAGGAGAAATGGAACCTTATGTTTTGGGCTTTTTTCCCATTATAAATAGAAATTAGTTCAGCCTGGAGCCTTTAACCAAGAAAAAAAGCTGTGTTTAGTAGTAGAGGGGAATGACAAAAATGTGTATTAAGATGGCATAAATCTTGTAGGTTTTATTTTACAGGTGTCTCAGTTGTCGTTTTTGAGCATATTTACAATTATTGACAGTCAGTTATTCTTATTAAACCTCTTGAAAAACAAGAATGCCCCAAGATTGTTGAAGAAACTGCTGAATTGAATAAAGAAAAAGGTGATGCTTCCAGCTTTTTCCTAAAAGTGAAGACTGTCTTAACCAATTTTATATAATTACAGTAATAAATAATGCTAATTTTAGCTCACAGAAGCTCTTGGATTATCGAAATAAAATATATTTGATACAAATGAAGAACTTTATTCATAAAGATACAATTGATAACCTGGAGTTTTGAAAAATCATGGAAGTCCTGCTTTCTCTGCATTTAAAAAATCTTATTAAGGCATTAAATGATAAGAATCTGTGCTGGTTTTTATCCTGAAGTCCATGTTAAATGAGGTCGAGAAGACCTTTTTTCCTAAAGTTACTATTAGGATAGTGTAGTATTAGGAAAGTGGGGACCTTAGGAATTGTGATAAATTTCTTATATTTCTTACTGTATCATAATAAAACTTTCATCCTGTGATAGCATTTGCACCTTTCCTTCCTTGATGGATCCTTAATGGCTCTTGAGAACAGTTATATTTTCAGGCACTATGGAAATTTGGTGATTGAAAATGAAACTGGTCTGAAATTAGGAATTATACCTAAAGTGACTTTTGCTTTAGAATTATTTATATTTATTTGACAAATGTTGTATCACTTATATTTTTTTGGTTAAAAGCAGTAGAAATCAACTCTGGCCAACTGAAGTAAAAAAAAGAAGAAAGCAGAATTACTTCATGGGAAGCTATCATGGAGCTTATAAAACTGAAGGGAACTATGAGGAACCTGACCCTGATTCAAAGTGGGGATCCAAAGTAGAGGGAAACTGTGTGTGCTTTCTTTAGGGGCTGGTGAATTCCAGTTTTCCATCTTTATAGCTTTTTACCCAAGGTTCTAAAATCAAGGGAAAGTACCTGATTGTCCTAGCTTCAGCTGGAAGAACCTACTTCAAGTATCATTTTACTACACTTTTTACAAAATCTGCATAACTTTTTTTTTTTTTTTAAGCTAATTTGAGGGGCATCTGGATGGCTCAGTTGGTTAAGCATCTACCTTCAGTTCAGGTCATGATCTTAGGGTCCTGGGATCAAGTCCCATGGCAGGCTCCCTGCCCACTGGGGAGTCTGCTTGTCCCTCTGCATTCCCCCAGCTTATGCTCTTTCTGTCTCTCTCTCACTCTCTCAAATAAAGAAATAAATAAAATCTTAGAAAACAATTTGAAAGAATTGTGATAAGAAATAAAGTATTTTTTTTAAAGATTTATTTATTTTAGAGAACGAGAGCGTGAGCAAGTGAGAGGGAGGGGCGGAGGGGGAGAAAGAGAATCCAAAGCAGATTGTCTTCTGAGCCTGGAGCCTGACATACTGCTCAATCCCACAACTCTGAAATCATTATCTGAGCCAGAACCAAGAGTTGGATGCTCAACTGACTGAGCCACCCACATGCCCCTACAATTCTTAACTTTATAATTGTATTCATTTTTTCCCCCTAGGAAAACCACAGGTTTCCTTAGTAAGCTTATACTTCATTTCTTATGTGTGTGATGGCTTATCATTGGTTTTTGTCCTTTTTTTCTGTGTCTTAGGTATATTTGAAGGCTCCCATGATTCTGAATGGAGTCTGTGTTATCTGGAAAGGCTGGATTGATCTCCAGAGACTGGATGGTATGGGCTGCTTGGAGTTTGATGAGGAGCGAGCCCAGGTAGGGTGACGTCAGGCTCCACTGAGCACGGTCCCTTTCTGTACCGCTAATCTTGCCTTCATCTGTGTATCTGTTTTACCCCATCTTTAACAGTAAGTATAACAAGTCATGTTCAATAGTAGTGAAGAATTCTGAAGATAGATGTTGAGACCCATTTTGGTTCTGGTTTGGGGACGTTTTTCCTTCAGTGGTTCTAAATTTCATTGGATTATTCCTATCTGCTCAGTGGGGCACTTCCAAGTCCAGTACATGGTTCTGTTTAATATTTGTTCTTGACCTTTAGAACATTATCAGGGGGAAAAAACAATTCAAAATGAAATACAGAATTTCTGGAGTGGCTCAGGGGGAGGAGTTTGGCAAATCATCTCCCCAAAAAGCAATGATTAAAGTGGACAAAATTGTTTAAGAAAAAAAAAATTAAGGTCTCTGGAAATTAACCAAAGGCCATACATTGAGAGGCATTTATTCAAACAAAGCTATTGAATTTCAGTAAGGACCTGATAGTCTGTGATATTTTATTTTTAATTAATTTATTTTTTAAGATTTTATTTATTTATTTGACAGAGAGAGATCACAAGTAGGCAGAGAGTTAGGTGGGTGCAGGGAGTGGGGAGAAGCAGGCTCCCTGTGGAGCAGAGAGCCTGATGCGGGGCTCGATCCCAGGACCCTGGGATCATGACCTGAGCTGAAGGCAGAGGCTTTAACCCACTGAGCCACCCAGGCACCCCACTCTGTGGTGTTTTAGTAGTGAGTGCTTCCATTCCTTCCCTCATCTCTGTGGTCTCTCAGGCAAGGCAGGCAGGGCAAGCCATGAAGACTGGCAGCTCTGCCGTCCTATCAGAAGGAGCTGACTTTATTTAGAGCAGCATTTGAAAAAAATCCATGCCCAGGGATGGTATCAAAAACAATAGAGGTTTCTGGCAAACCTTCTAAGAAGGCAGATGTTGTGGGAAGCAACCAAATGGCAGACTAGCCAGAAATTTATCAGAGATCTAGGGAAACGGGCCACTAAAGTGGGCCCTAATAAAATCACACATACTTCTCATGGTTCAGAAGACTATGTGCATGTGTGAGGCAGCACCCATTCAGAAGAGAACAAAGTGGGCCCTTGCAAGCTACTAGTGTACATAGGGTACGTAGAGTGATGAACTCCCTGCACTTTGGAAGTATTGAAGCTGCACACAGATCCAGTGACAAAAGACAGAAGCCTGTTGGCTCAAGGTGTTTAAGCAAAACCCCTGAACAGTCATTGCCTGATCATTAAGTTAGGCTAACCCAGGTCAACCCCCTAGTAAGTTAGGCCTAAGAAGAAAACAAAACAAAACAAAACTAAGCAATGACACCAGAGCTAAACATTACTGGGGATACAAATTCTACAGAATTAGACCAGGTTAAAAAAAAAAAAAAAAGTCCAGGTAACGCACTAAACAGATAAAAATAGCAACAACACAGTGGAGTCAGGAGTCAGAATTCAGAATTGCTATAGCATATTATCTAAAATGTTCCATTTTCAGGGGACCTGGGTGGCTCAGTTGGTTAAGTGGCTGCCTTCAGCTCAAGTCATGATCCTAGAGTCCTTTGAGCTCTACGCTGGGCTCTCTGCTCAGCAGGGAGTCTGCTACTCCCTCTCCCTGTGCCTGCTGCTCCCCCTGCTTATGCTCTCTCTGTCAGATAAATAAACTTTAAAAAAAAAAAAAAGCTACCTTTGGGGGACCCCAGTTGTTTGTTCTTAGTGACAAAGCCCTAAAAGCAATTATTTATCAGTTCAAAGAATTATAGGAAAATTCTTCCTTTAAATAATTAAAGGAGAATTATGATGGCAATGACTTACCAAATGGAGAATATCAATAGGGAGATGACTCAACAGCAGATTTGAGCTGGCAGAAGAAAGAAGTAGTGACTTTGAACATAGATTAATAGAAATTATCCAGTCGGAAGAACAAAAAGAAAAGCAAAGAGTCTCAGATACTATGGAACAGCAGCGTGCCTACCAATATGTATATGTGATGTAAGTTCCAGAAGGAGGAGGAGGCAGTTTAAGAAATAATAACTGGTATGGGATACCTGGGTGGCTCATTTGGTTAAGCATCTGCCTTCAGCTCAGGTCATGATCCCAGGGTCCTGGGATCGAGTCCCACATGGGGCTCCTTGCTCAGCAGGGAGCCTGTTTCTCGCTCTGCCTGTTCTGCTTGCAGCTCTCTGTGCTCCTGCTCTCTCTGACAAATAAATAAATAAATAATCTTTTTAAGAAAAAAAGGGAGAGAGAAAGAAATAACTGGTGAAAATATCCAAATTGTTTGAAAAATATTCTTTTTTTTTTTTAAGATTTTATTTATTTGACAGAGAGAGATCACAAGTAGGCAGAGAGGCAGGCAGAGAGAGAGGGGGAAGCAGGCTCCCCAATGAGCAGAGAGCCTGATGCGGGGCTCGATCCCAGGACCCTGAGATCATGACCTGAGCCGAAGGCAGAGGCTTTAACCCACTGAACCACCCAGGCGCCCTGAAAAATATTCATTTCCATATCTAAGAAGTTCGGTGAACTTCAAGTTGTATTAAAAACAAAGAAATCTACACCTAGATGCATCACAGTCAAATTCTGAAAAAGAATCTCAAAAGCAGAATTAAAAAGGACTCAACACATGAAAGGGAGCCATAAGATTAACAACTGACTTGTCTTTTGAAATTGTGCAAGCCAGAAGGTAGAGGGATGACAGTGACATTCAAAATGCTAAAAAAAACACGTAAAAATATCCGATTATTAGTAGATGTTGATTTCTTTGGATTGTTTTATATTAATTCTTTTAATAAAGTTAAAATAATGACAAGAATAAAAAGGAGTTCTTTTTTTGTTGTTTCTTTCTGTTGTCTTTTCCTATGCTCTCCATATATAGAAATGTGAGAATTTTCTTACTGAGGATCAGAACCCAGAACCTTCCTAGTAAAAAATTAAAATTCAAAATTAAAATTCTTGGGTGCCTGGCTGGCTCAGTTGGTAGAACATGTGACTCTTGATCTTGGGGTTGTGAGTTCAAGCCCCATGTTAGGTATAGAGATTACTTTAAAAATAAGTAATAAATAAATACGGAACAGAATTAAAATTCTTAAGAAAGAATCCCTGTTGGGGCACCTGGGTGGCTCAGAGGTAAAGCATCTGCCTTCGGTTCAGGTCCTGATCCCAGGATCCTGGGGTCAAGCCCTGCATCAGGCTCCCTGCTCGGCAGGAAGCCTGGCTTCTCCCTCTCCCACTCCTCCTGCTTCTGTTCCCTCTCTCACTGTGTCTCTCCCTGTCAAATCTTTTTTTTTTTTTTTAATTTTATTTATTTATTTGACAGAGATCACAAGTAGGCAGAGAGGCAGGCAGAGAGAGAGAGGAGGAAGCAGGCTCCCTGCTGAGCGGAGAGCCCAATGTGGGGCTAGAGCCCGATGTGGGGCTTGATCCCAGGACCCTGAGATCATGACCTGAGCCGAAGGCAGAGGCCTTAAATCACTGAGCCACCCAGGCACCCAATATTAAAAAAAAAAAAGAAAGAAAGGAAGGAAGAATCCCTGCTATCTTGACTTCTACAGAGATAAGGAGTTACCAACTCTTTCAGAAAAATAGTAAATAATCCATCCTCAATTTAGAAGGCTGTTTCTGTAAGAAGTGATATGGCAGATCACATTTACATAAGGTAAAATTTCAGACTTAATTGATTTCTAAAACTGAAGTATTTTGTGAAAATGATAAAGTTTTAAGTTTAATCCATTGTATCTTCCATACTTAGAATTTTCCAAGTCTTGTTTCCCCAGTCTATAAACTGAGCTTTGTCATTACAAAGTTAGTACCATCTGTTGTGATTATAAACTAATAGAATAACAGGTCTTACACAGTGTAAAAATTTTAAAGCAGGAGACCCCAAACGTTGAATCAGCAGTGAGCACTTCTGTATAACCTTCCCTATCCCAAAATCATCTGTCAGATATGTACAAGTTAGGAATGGGGGCTTCATTGTCATACAATTATGAATCCTAACTCCACTGCTTACATCTGTTATGGGCTGAATATTTGTGTTCCCCCAAAATTCATATGTTAAAGCCTCAACCCCCCAATGTGACTGTATTTGGAGATAGGACCTTTATGGGGGGTAACTAAGGTTAAATGAGGGTCATAAGAGTGGGGCCCGGATATGATAGGATTAGTGTCCTGATAAGAAGAGATACACAAGAGAGCTTGTTTGTTTTCTCTGTCTGCTGTATGAGGACAGTATTCTTTAACAGATACTGAGGTATCTGGTACCTGGTAAGCTAAGAGATAAACAATATGGTCACAATTCCATTTTAATTAAAGTTTGTGAGTATTTCAGCTGAAGTATTTTCACCAGTATTGTCTTTTTGCCTTCATTCAGAGTACTTCTGACTAGTGTTGGCAAGGATATGGAACAATAGGTGGTGTGTTGGTTATGTCAAATTGACGTAACAATTGGAAAACTGGCAATACATACTAAAACTGCAAATTACATATACCTGTGATCCAGCAGTTGTAGTCTAAATCATGGTGTGCAAAGGGATTGAATACAAAATTCATTAAGAGATATGTACTGGACTTGTAGCAGCACTAGTAATAGAAACTGCAAACTGCTCAAGTGCCAGTTAACAGTAGAATGAATAAACTGCTCATTCACAAAGAAATGCAGTGATAATGAACAACTACAACTAGCGCACCAGTAAGGATGGATTTCACAAATATTTTGAGTATATCCAAAAAGCACATGCTATATGAATCCATTCATCTGAAAGTACAGAAATGGGCAAAACTAATACGTTTTTAGAAATAAGGATAATGGCTTATCCTGGAGAGAGGAGGCTACGTAGTGGAATGGAGCAGAAGGAGACTTGTGAGATGCTATTACTGTTCTGTTTCTCCCTATGGATTCTAGTTACATGGAAAGTTCAGTTTGTGGAAATTCATCAAACTGTAATTTAGGACAGTGCTGCCCTGTAGAATTCAGATGTGAACCACA